GTGAACGTTGGCCGTCGTTCAATCGGCCAGACGAAAACAACAAGCCATCTGAATACCGCGAGTAATGACCATGGCGTAAATTCACTGCCTGGTCAATAATTTGAATTTTCATTTAATCTGCAATCGGTGCCTTTTGGTGAGCGGAAAGCTGAAGCTCGGAGCCGATTAGGAGTGGCAGACAAAGGCATCAGTCCGCACGTCCGGATCTGGCAAATTGCAGATAATGGAAGCGACTTTGGCGCGCCGAACAAATGTAAACGAATATAGTAACAAAAGGCAAGACGCGCACTCGGCTTGTTACTTAGGATATCCTAGCGCACCCAATGGTAATTGGGAGAAATGAATTCCATTATTTTTAAAGCCTCTACACGATTACTAATGAATTTAGAGAAAATTACTATCGTAAGGTATGACTATAATGGATTGTGCATTGAGTTATTATGGATTGCAAGAAGGAATGGATATAATTCTAAAGTTATTGCGGATATGAATTCTGAAGTTATTCAACGGATATGTAGTAAAATTCGACTCTTATACCTATGCGTATCGTCGATTGGAATTGAACCTTTTAAAAGTGAAGAAAAATAAATTAAATTCATCAAATAATACTGTATAAAAGCTTGATTTTGATGAAAATGTGAATTTACTGGGTGTTTCCTTTCTTAAATTCTTTGTGAGTTTGAGATTGAAACACAAAATGATGATATAAACAATTTAGCCTTTGAAACAGCTCAATTTCCTTCAGGTCTAAATTATTACCAATAGGATTATTTATTACCAATACCAATATCACCAATAGGATTTATTATTACCAATAAACATTTTACTCAATGTGTAGGATGACACGCATATGTGGTAGCGTTCTTCTTCACATTCGCCAATGTAACTGTACGTGGAGTGAATAAAATGACCATTGAAATGAAGCTATAAATTTGACTGAGATGCTTCATAGAAATCCTTCAAAAATCCTTCTTAATATTTAGTTTCTGGCTTGATTTTATACATTTATTAATATTTTTATGAAATGGATGATTTATTTGAACGTTGCATTAATGTTATCATTAAATAGATAATAGATTTAACTTTGCATTGACATTATAATTAAAAGTTTGATCGATTTGAGCCCTGTGTTAAAATTTTCATTGCATGAATGATTAATTTGTGCCATGCATCAATATTTTTAAATGGGTAACAGATTTGATCATCGTATTATCATATTATCGTTCAACGGTTGATGTTCTTTGGTGGTTTCGTTCATGAAACAATATTAAATTGTCTTTTCCTCGTTTCTTCATAAAGTTCCTATATATTTTTTTCCTTCTATGAAATTTTTCAATATTGTACTATTGGATAAACTATGGAATAACCTATTTTCCTTCAGACCCATTAAATTTAAATTTTAAAATTAGATCATCTCCGGCGACATACCGAACACATTTACCGACATGTGAAATAATTTATGAATTTGCACAAACTTGAAAAATTAACACAGTTATGAGTGAACAAGAAACAATTGTGTACATTTCCTTCATCAAATAATGAAATGGAAACTCACATAAAGTAATAAATGAGAATCATGTGATCTAATAAACATATTTGTAAATTTTATAGGCATTTACTGTTTGTCTATAACTTTTTCATTTATATGACTACAGCACAAGTGTAATGATTGGGTGAGGAATTTAATTGAAAAAAAAAACTTTTCCCCCATTAAATTTATTTCGTATAGTTAGTTGGAATAATTTTTAGTTCGTATAGTTCATTTAGTTGGAATAATTTTTCGACACGAACATCAACAATCACCGTATAAAAATTTTCCCACGAATACTTTCGTGGGAAAATTTCGTCACCAAAAAAACAGAGCAAGAATTGGCCATCAGTCTACGGATTACGAACGCCATGTAAACGATATAAAGTTCAGAGTGAAACCGTTGTATGATATTTATTTTATAATTTATTAAAGAAGAAACATAGATAATTTTCCTATGATAATAGGAAAACATTGACAATTTCAAAATAGATAAAAAATTTTAGGTATAAAAACATAGATAAAACATCGATAATTTTCCACCAATTTTTAGCTGAACAGTTTAATAAAAATTCAATCTTGAATTAAAGTATATTTATCACGAATTGCCTATGAATGTTAGGTTTCGAATTTTTTCGTGTTTTTCAATTAATGAAATAAATCTTGTAAATACTCGAACAGAGTGAATTCAACTGTTACTATGTTTATGGAAAATTGCGAACAAATGAAATTTGCGGACGGAAGTTTCATTTATGAGCAAATTAATATGAGTATCTGAGATAACTATTTATGATCTTAAAAGGAGCTAAGCAACTAGATATATGCAATAATGTTAATTTTAATTTCCAATTATAAAATTCAATGTGAAACATCACAGATACTCCCAATAAGGAAAATGAGAAATCTTAATTAAATGGGGAAACATTGAAAATATTCGGTCACGAGAAAAATTTTTCATAATTATAATTTCAAAAAAAAATGAAAAATTGGTTCAAAGACAAGTTTTTTTCAACAACGTAGATAATATATAAATATATGACACTATAAATATGATTGTTAGTGAAAATAAAAATCTTTTCGTTAATGCCTATTAAGTTTTAAGCAAATTAATTATATTATATATTTTATATTCCTAAATAATATTTATAATAAATGTACAATAATATTAATATGACAGATTTTATTCAATTAAATTCCTTCCTTGCGTGCATGAACAAAATATTTCATTTATTCGTTAAGTACCCTGTTTAGTGTTTTATTTATTTATAACTTCATTTATATATATATATATATATATTTAATAAATCTGCAATTTTTTAGGACTTATTACAGCTTAATGAACATCCAAAAATTAATTCTTTCGGTTCGTTAATAATTGGAGCGTCAGAAATTAATTAAAATAACATATCAACAAGTTGATTTTGAATTTAAAACAATTAATTGACTTTAACTTTAGCATGAGGTGTAAATTTTCATGGCCTTCATAAATCATTCTCTCCGTTTCCCCACCAATTTGTTTCGATAAGCGTCGGATCATTTGTGAATGAAGACGAGTTGGTTGAGCGAACTCTTCTATTCTGTCACCTCAGCGCACGCTCCATTCAACTACAACTCAGAGCTCAAACTGTGTCCAATTAACAGCCGTGATCTCCATTCATATGCCCTCACAGGCTTCCTAAGCAAGATATTCGCGCAATTCCTAACTAAGTGGCGGGTCGGTGCCGCCAGCGTCGGCCGGACAGAGCGCTAACTCCAACAGACTCCAGAACAAAGCTAAATCCGCTGGCGTAAATGCTTAGCCTAAATACACTTCAGCACTATTAATGGGTGAACAAAGTGTTAGTATTGTGCCGTGATCGCAGCAAAACCTGGTCATGGTTGAGCTGTAAAGCTAGGACGATAGGTTTTGCCGGGCATGTTAGGCGCACCGAGAGTCCGCGGTGTTGAACGGAGTCAGGTAAGTTAAATTCCGAGTCCCGGCCGAACGGGCCGGTCTCGGCTCAATTCGCAGTCATGTTGGCAGGATTTAGAGGAAATACCTGCGGTGTGAAGCGGTGTTCCAAAACAACTACGGTGTTTGTCACGACGGCAAAGAGGATCTGTTGCTCGGGTCAAGAATGACCGTGGCTTTGAATGCATCGTAGTGGCAAGGGACAATAACTGATCGAGATGAGGGCATTTTGATGGGCTGGCACGAGGTTAATTGTTTTGTAGTAATGAGTTTATGGTGCACTGACGCTTCTCTGCATCAGGGCTGTGTACGATCATTTAACCGCGAATCTTTATTATATGCTATTTGGTGTTTGTTAATATATTTCAAGGACTTCAGTGGTAAAATATTCGACTTTTCAACTAAATTTTCAAACGTCATAGATGTTAAGGCCTTTTCCGCTTGTAGAAGATTATTTATAAACCTTTAGATAAATGAAACACAGTTCATAAACAGGCAATTATTCAGTGCCATTTCATCGTCAGTAAAAAAAACAATTGTACAGAGTCACAGCAGAAAAAACTGTGATAAATTATACGGGCACAAACTAGAAAATTTCCTAATGGAATAAAGATTTTCCATAAATATTGTGTTGACGAAAACATTGTTAAGTAGTCTCCTATAATTGTTTCATTTAATAAAACCAAACTAATATGTAATTATGAGTTATCATATAAGCACAAGAATTACATGCAGTAACCTTATTTTGTTTGGGAAATATTCTGTACAAAGTTACACGGCAAAATAACATTTGTGAAACATTAACATTACACTCATACACAAAACGTGAAGCAAAATGTATATCTAGGAATTAATGGTACAGGTTAAAGAAAAGTCGATAAATTCATGCAGTTTGAATTTTTCAAGCCAGTTAGCCTCGATGAATTCGGTGAATCGTTTGAAAGGGGTGAAAAGGTTCAAGCAAAATATTTAAGATTAGATCTTTTGCCACTGTTTCCTTGTAAACCATAGTAAGCGCAATTCTCCCTTAGAACGATTGTTATTTTCAACCACAAATTCCACTTTTCACTCAATTTCTCATCGGTTATGATGGTTTTCTCTTTTACTCACATGTCATGTGACAACGATAATTCCTGAAATTAAATGAGCGTGCGTTCGAAATAACGGCTGAATTTTGAACCAAAAAATGACCGGCCGACGGAGATTCGTGGGCAACTGAAAGACAGGTAAGACCAGAGATTTGAGAAATTTTGTACCAAAAAATTTAATCGCGCAAAATACGAAATTACACTTCACACAAATATCAGAACCAGATAGAAAATTTCGACGAGTTTAAAACCGCACAAAACACCAGGCAAGGTTTTCAGTTATTAACTAGTAAACTTATAAAATCTACAGGCGTAAATATAGAATGATATACTCACGGTACGCTGAATACGTAATCCAACATAAGCATTGATTGTATACCTGTAATTCATTCACCAGCGAATCGGCGACTTTCGGCTCTGGCGCCCAGTTTTGGGTTCCCGCAGCGAATGAGTTGAACGTCGTCATCGAGTTGAACGAGTTGAATGATGGGTTGAAGGAACTGAACGACGAGTTGAATGATCCGAAACGCTGGTGAGGAGGTTGGTAGTACTGGGACTGTAGGTCCAATGGTTGGTGTGGATGATGGTGAGGTTGTTGGTGTTGCGGATGCTGGTGATGATCCTCAGTTTGGTGAGGGTGGTGACTCCCTGGGTGACTTTGGTTCATTGTTGGTGGTGGTGATGACATGGTCGACATGGTCATTTTTTCCGTTAGATAACTTTTATAGGATTAATTATCAATCCTAAGGATTTTTATTTGTGTCTTTCCAATTATATGCTCACAGCAGGAGTTTAATTTATCGGTGACCAACCTCTTAAAAAATTTGATTGCTCATCACTTCCGTTTAAAATATCTGGGCAGTTTTTCATGCGCGCTTCACTTCTACCACTTGAGAACATTAACGGATTCTCTTTTATTCATTCTAATTAATTTCAGCTAGTGAGTTGTGTTGAATCCACTTAATGAGCTTAACAAACAAAACTAATATTATCGAATAAAAACACCAACAGATATCAAATAATTTCTAGTGAGTAATAATTCAACACAACATATAACAATTGATTAATTGAATCTCATTAATTCCCTAATGCTTCTGGCATGTGAAAAACTTCATCGAAATTAATATTTCTCGATCCTTTTCCTAGGATTGGCAATATTTAACTAAGTTGGCCCTCGAACTTCCAAGCGAGTCCCTTTTCAAACTCTACCTTTCTTCAGTCAGCTGGAAAACCCGTTGATGATGGAATAATCAGGTAACGTATCAGAAGTTTCTTAAAAATTGCAAAGCTACTTATATAATTTCTTTTCACAGATTCAGTCATCAGCTTGCGACACGTATGGAAAAAATTCACTGATTTCAGCGACTCATGGAAAAATCTTGATCGCAATTACCACAATTTTTTATCCTTGCTGGATCTATTACTGTGATCAATTCAAGTCTTGGCCTTCGCAAACGAAACCTTTAGTATGAAAATACAAATTTCGATCTTTTAATTTTCAAAACTTTGAAAGAACAAGTTTTCTTCGTTTCTTTGAAAACCAGGAATTTTCGATCACTGCGATGATAAGCGTGTGAACACAATGGACGCGGAACTATTGTGATCAAAATTATTGGACATCCGCACCGCGTGCCGCGCGCTAGGGTTCGCTCGGTCGTTTCAGCAGGAGCGTCGCCGTAGCCTGGTTGCCGAGGCGGCCACAGATCAGAGACTGCCAGACACGGAGGGCGTTCCAGTGTTCCAGAGCACCTGCTGGTAGCCCAGGCACGGCTCTACAACAAAGCTTCTTCCCCACCAGGAACAACACTTGGCTTGCCTTAGCTCCTAGCAGATGTAGATGACGGAAACTCAACGCTGAACCCAACACAGACGACACTCAATCTCAGGTAAGACCGGGAGAGGAACACCTTCGTCAGGGCACTAGATGAACGTTACTAAACTCGGAACGGACGACTTTTTCAGCCTTCTCTCGGAGATGTCCAACTCAAAAGTGGGTTCCTGGGACGAGGAAAGAAATGCACGTCTTTACCGCGGCGGCTCACGGAGCAGAGTGGGGGAGCAAAAAGCCAGGGTAAAAAGCCTCTCTTGAGCTACTAATAAGACGCGAGTCTTCTAAGCATGTGCAGCACGACCGTTCTTGGGCCCGGCCACGTAATTAGGGGGGTTGAAAAAAGCCGGCTGATTGGTCGTAAGAGGAGCCGGGAGCCGAGGGGCGCTACGTGGTTGGACCCACAAGCTCACGCCCACCCCTGCCGTCGGTCCCCTATAGCGCGCGCGCACTCGTCCTACAGGGGCTACAACCCCTCGCCGTCCCTTTCTTCTGGCCGTCAAGCTCCACCTCTTTGCCTCGCTAGCAGAAAAACGGCTTCCGCGCCGCGAGTCTTACAGGTTGGCGCGGCGCAGCGCGCACCCCCGCCACCTGTCTTTCCCGCCATCCGCCCCCGACCCCGACGCATTTTTCTTAGCGGCATCGGAATTCCCCGGCGTCGCCTGCATACGCGATCCGGCCGCCGTCCGCTACGCACCTCGCTCTTCCCGAGCTGCGGACGCGCCCACGCCTTAGACCGGCGCGCTCCGAGGGTCGCCTTGACTCGAGATGACAATCGCGTCTTGGATGAGATGAAAATTAAAAGCGAAGAAAACTCAAAGTACATTCATTGAATCTTCATGTAAAAAGTTCACGGTGAAGATGCAATGAATTTATTTGTCGGATTCTTTGTTTTTAAAATCTAAGCGAACTTGCGATATAAGCAGACTTATGATACGAAACTAATACAGCATTTAAAAATACTGCAAGTTTACCGTTAAATCATGACGATTATTAAAGGAACCATGTATATTCAAATATTGGGAAAATGTACATAATATGAAGGTTGTTGTAGAGTTCTGGTCAAATATCAATAATCTTTCAATCCTTTTGAAATCTATAAGCAAAAATGTCAGGGAACAAACATATATCAGAAGAAAAAATGGGGTAATACAAATATTATTTGACGTTTATAAAACTGACAAAACTTCTGTAAAAAATGCGCCTGTAACGGGAAATAAAATTTGTTTTCAAATTATAATCGGAACTTTATTTCTCTACGTTGACATTTCGTGCCACAATATAATATGAAGCAAATTCAACATTTTAACTGACATTATTTAATACTCATAGCAACGTTTAAAAAGATTCCATGAAAAGTTAGAATTTTTTTATTTCTTATCGACACATGGCTTCTGGTAATTATGTATGCAACTATAAAAATTTCTCCATCATCACAAAGGCATCTTTTAAAATTCAATTGATTATCATGTACGTACAAATGGCGAGTAACATTGAAATTTATTTCGGTCACAAACAGCAAAAGGCGAAAAACACATGAGCAAATGTTTCCGGTTATATAAATCAATGCCACGAAGCCATGATAATGAAAATTCGTACATTGACAAGGAGTTCAGAGCTGCTTATGAGGAAACTCAAAAATTGCACCGTAAAACTCATTTTGATATTTATTAATAAGCTATCAAAATAACGGCATAAAATAAATAAGAACTAAATACAAACAAATAATATGTTAAAAGTAACGGTACAATTAGCGCACTGGAGGAGTAAAAATTGTACGGTCTGCGCATTGTTGCAATAACAATTCTACATTAGCGCATGGTGGAGTAGTACTTGTACAGTTTGGAGTAGTAATTGCACTGTTTATAATAGTAATTGTACAGTTTGTAGTAATAATTGCACAGTTTGGAGTAGTAATTGTACAGTTTATAAGAATAATTGTACAGTTTGGAGTAATTGTACACTTTGGAGCATTCATTGTACAGTTTGTAGTAACAATTGTACAGTTTGGAGTAATAATTGTACAGTTTGGAGTAGTAATTATACGCTTTGGAGCATTCATTGTACAGAGCACGTAGACCGAAGATTGCACCGAAGGATACGAAGGATAGGCAGCTCCACTTGCGTAGGTCCTTTTGACGTCTGTAGAAACAAATCAAACAAAACAAAAATAAAGAAAATTAAATAAAAATTCGAAACTAATCATTTCTATAAAATTATATGAACACAAATTCCTATAATGAAGTGCTAAAATAAGAAAATTATAAAGGTTTTGCAAATTTAACAAACTCTGCCAAGTAGTGCACAATGCAGAATAAAGTGCAATCAAATTGCAAAATTTACGTTCAAATTTAAAAGTTTTATTTATAAAATGATAACTGATTTTACATGAATATATAAGCGGAATATTTAAACAAGGCCTGCATATTTAGAATGTTGCCATAAAACAATGATAAAATTATCGTACTACGAAAATGAAGTCAACCGAAGAAAACCCATAGAGGAGCGATACCATAAATAATCTGAAGCTTAACATGCACAAATACCGGAAAATAAAGTATTTTTCACTACTATATTGAACGAATAAATAGGAAAAACAAAGAAAAATAAGAAAAATAGAAAGAAAACAGTACACTACTCATTATTACACCATCAATACATTACTTGAACTGAAAATTCCCTTTAAAATTAGCTAATTTCCCTCAAAAATATACAGACGTGAAAATGCCAACAAACATTCATATACACACCATTAACCTCCACTTAAAATAGGTATGACATTGTCTGAAATAATAGCCCAGTCGAAATCTGGCTACCTCATTTGAACTGTAATGTTGAATGTCGCAACGTTTAACAAGTGCGTTCTCTGCGGTAAAATTCCACTACAAAATCATCCGAAACTGTCTGCCAAACGTTATTTAATATACTCTAATTAATAATATTTAATATTTATTCATATGACCTACAATTAGCAATTTCTAATAGCATTCGACGAATCAAGTTGACGAATCAAGTCAGTGGAACAGCAGTTCACTCACGCACCCTAATGAAAATTAGGGTCTCATCCAGTATAGTAGAATTTTCCTGTAATTCGTTTGCGATTTTTGATCAGGTAGTCTAATCTGAAGGCCACCAGCCTCTGGCTCACGCTTCAACCTTAAAAATTTGCACAAAAACGTAAACTGGGACTAAAGTGGCCGCCGGAGATAGGGAAAGTGACCCGAAATATCATAAAATTCGAAAGAATTCCAAAAACTGCCCAGATCGGCGAGTTTTTGTTTGTTGCACGCACAAGAGCTTGCAGAGGAGGGTTCTTAGGGCACTGATGCACGCGGTTACGTCAGATTCCAAATGTATGGCTCAGTGCTGGGAATGTGCACTGTAAGAATATGCTGATAAATTGTTAGACTAAAAGCTTATTGCACTCACATAACAACCGGTTTTGTCAATGAGTAACATGTTTAATTTTTATATTGTTCGTCTAAAAATCATTAGCAGTGTATTGATCTTGTCAGTTTTTCATCTGTTCATTGTATAAGTACGGAATAAGCTGCCGGTACTTAACGACATTACTGGAAATGCAGGAGAGTTTTTCGGAAATTTCTGGAATGAAGTCGCCAAGCCTTCTAAAATTAATATTTATATCGCGTGAAATATTTAAGCGCATGTACGCACACACAATAAACAATTGTTCATGAGCATGGTTGTGATAAATGGGAAAAAATATAAATTTGATTCCATAGTTTTACTTAATTTAACGTAATACCAGGAACACCAACAAGATATAACGCACACGGTATAAAGCTGAACGTGAGGAACCGTAGTGTTGAGAAACATTCTTAATCTATGAAGACATAGCATGATGATATGGATGCATGTAATTTGACATTTCGTCAACACGACCTGTAGCTGCTGATACGCTGCTATTATTATTTTTCTATACTACATCCATCGCAGCTGCGTATAAATGTTGGATCATAGGACGGATGCGGATGCGATTTACCAGTTAAAAGTCATCTCCAGTCACTGAGAACATATTAGCGCATTTCCTGATGTGACGGAGTGTGACAGCGTGACACGCTTTGTGACACGCCTCGTCGACCACGTGACGGTGATAATGACCAGCTTGTTACGCCTTGCCAATTGACATGCTATACGGACCAATTGATTATACCGGCCCATCGAGATGCTCTGCCTATGCTATGCCCTCTGAGATGGTCCAATGAAATTCCATAGAACTGAACTGCTCATCGTCAGGCATTTCAGTTCATCGGCGTTGAAACGAACGAAGACTGAAGCAAGTTTTGATCACTGAGCAGTTGTTCTAATGCTGATTATGCTGATGACAAAATTTAATCTTTATATAGAATCATGGGCGGATTACAAACGGCCGACTGCCAGCCGTTCACTGGCTCACCGCCGGCGCCCACGATTCCAATTGGCGAGTCATTTCAACCTAATTCGCGGCCAATAGTCCTATTTATACTTGTAACGAAATAAAAGAACGCATTACTTTCTAAATAAATTAGGAATGCAAAATTTTACCTAATATTGAGTTCATCTTCGGGAACTGACGGCAAATAACCAGCCGCTAACTGAGCAATAAGCGTTCGTCCGCGGGAAGACATGCACACGTTGTCGCAGCGAACAAATTGAAATTATTTCCGCGCTTGGTAGGTGTTTGGGGGATGAACATGTCAAGAATAAATTGAAGGAAGTGTCGAGTTATTATATGATATTGCGGTGTGCTAAACTTGGGTGCAACACAGATGACGGTTGATGACCGCTTTGCAGCACTTACCTTCCGTCGGATCGTTAGAATGTCAGCGACTTGGTTGCTGCATGAGATCGAACGGATGCATGATTACTTAATGCATGGTTCAACCGAAATACGTAATTTCGTCATACGTCATATAAACTGAACAAATTAGCAGGATAGATATTTTATTATTTAGTGAGTCGTGCTGAATATTTCTTAAAAATTACGGGATTCTTACTTATTGAAAAAATAGTTCTTACTTACTATTACGGTCAACTATTCATTTCCTGGTCAAAATATAAAATTTGTATGCTCCGCATCACCAAATCAAAGGAAATTATAACCAAATAATTAATCAAGCTTCGGTTATGTCAAGGCCTATTCGCAAAAAAAATCGACAGCGAAAAAGTATTTATAAATGTTATGTCATTGAATCATAGTT